TACTAGTGATGGAAAGTTGGAGGAAGAGATCGACCGGCGAATTGGAGTAGCCAGTGGCGTTCTGTGTGAATCGGCCGATGTCAGTCTGAAAACAAATTCTCGGTGTTCAAGTCGATCTTTTTCCTCATGCTTACCTATGATCATGAGTCGTGGACCATGACTGAAAAGCTTCGAACCCAAGTGCAAGTTGCTGAAAGTTATCTGTGCCGTTATCATGAACGTTGGGCTTTGTTAGATGAGTCGCTGGCGTTACGCGTCTCGCTTTGGTCGGGAATGCAGACATCTGGGAGAGCCTGGGTGTACAACTTTGCTTTTCCAGATTGAGAAGTCATAGCTGCGATGGTTTGGATGTGTGTTGCAGAAGGCCTAGGGGACGGCCAAGATTTACTTGGTGCAAACAAGTGAAAGGAGTAAGTTCGAGACTGCAACTCCCTTCTGCCATAGCAGAGACTCTGGCGCGGAATCGGGAACGTTGGTAGCACTGTCTGACACATGTGCCCACGAGACACGGAAGAAGAAATGGCCATGGAAGATGGAGATCACTTTAAATAACTATTTAAAACATGTTAAGTGAAATGACGCTGATCAGTCTGAAACGAAACAGATCAGATGATGATACAGGCAGAAATACGACATTTGCTGTGAACGGTGGATACTATTTTCACCGACCATTAACTTCCTCTTTGTCAGCGAACGTTCCAAAATGCGAGATGCAGTCAATGCATAAATGATGGCGATGGAAAAATTGCTTTTCCTTTTACCATGTTGATGATGTTGACAACATCACGACAGACCAAAATAACTAACGTGTTGCCGGTCATTCGCCGACATTACTTAATCATGTGAAATGGTCAGAAGATCTGCAGCTATATAACTGTCATATCCAAGCAATGAAGCATAATATTAGTACAAAAATCTATATTAGCCACGCCTCCCTAATTTATCTGGTATATAAGATATACTTTTGATATGATGCTAAAAGAATACAACAGCTATATATGAAAAGTTAGAACAGTAGTACTGAGTTCTGCATAAACTACTGCTGTGCTTTCTTGCTATGGATATACCTGATGCTATGGTCACCTGGAATTCATCAAGCAATTAGATTTCGTCGATCACACCTCCCTCTCCTTCTTTAATTTAACTCCTCTTTAGCGACAAAGGTAGCAGACTTGAGACGAAATTATTCGATCTGAACCACATGATGTTCTGTTAATCTTGCTTTCCAGCAGTGGTTTGCTGTCTGATAACTATAACGAATATGTGGCCGCGGAGCAGAATCACTATGACTTCTATCCACTGATCGCGGAGTAAACACAAATTTGTTCCGCAATTTTCGTCAGCGACCAAATGTCAGATGTACTACATGACAATGCGTATTATACAGGAAAAGAGGAACAATAATCATATATAACATTACAGTCGCTGCATTTGCTTTTGAACAGAAAATCATGGTTAAAACGGGCAAATGCCCAGCAGATTCTCAAGAGAGCACTGCTTCCAGCATTGAACGCAATGCCACAGGATAAAACGAAAGTAAATACTATAAGCTGTTTACGAGTAAAACCCGATTACACTTCGACAACAAATTTGCAATACAAAAAAGGACGATAACAGCGATCACTGCCTGTTGTTACCTTAGATTTTGCATTGTCTTTGTCTGAGAGTTCGGTCGCCTTTGGTGTCACTGAATTAGACTTATTCTCCACTGTTCCAAGAATAAAGACAGCATCTTCCTCTTGATGCTTAGGCCGAACATCCACCACTTGCTTAAAGGAGTCCTCCTTGGAAGTGTCGGGCTTCTTTTCAACAACCTCACAGCCTAAACGTAGAAAGCTAAGAAATCTAATAACGAGTTGTAATAAATGTCATAAATCTAAAAAATCAATTTCTGTCTGACTGTCGAAAGTATGAAACGAACATCGTCTTTTGAAATGTCGCTCGTGAGCAAAGAATTGTATTACCAGTATAATGCATCTAGCACTGCAGATAATTAAATATCAAGGAGTCTTCAGTAGCCTCAATTCCCACAGACGATTAAGAGCATGAAGTCGGATAATTACGTCCTGTATTCAAATGTTTTGACCAGTTAAGCGTAGTGTCAACCATTAAATCATATTTAATGCACCATCAAATTCACAAAAATGAAACCTTGCCGACAAATATACTGTTTCATTAGATTATGCTTAATCAATGATCCACTGCAGAACTTCAGTCGAAAGTGACAGAAAATAGTGCCTGTTCTTGTCTTCAAAGTTTCCAAAGTTTCCAGAATCACCAATTTCTAGAAGGTTCTACCCGTATATTCAAATAATCGTATAGCATTATCGTTCATTTTGAAAGCTACTAAAAGCGACCTGGCAAAGCCACAGTTGTTGCACAAATGCACTTGAGAGTTCGCGGTCATACAGCGGTCAGGGGACAGTAGGATTTTTAAAAATTTATTCATTGTTTAAGCTGATGACAGCAATACGAGCCACTTGACGAGATATACCCAGGAACCGCAAAAACTCGTTATGAGGCAGTTTCCTTAAAACATCTGTAATTATCAAAAAACCATACAACCAACATTAAAGAACCACGAAAGCAATTTCAAACACTGAATTTAAAGCATACCTAATGTGGGAAAATCTTCCTTCACCAAACTGAATTCCTTCGGGTCAGGAACAGGAGCAGAGGGAGGGTCAGCTTCAGGACGTCCTTTTCTGAAAAACTCTGCTTCATACGCCAGCAACATAATTCAGTAGTTCTATGCTATCATTATCTCATAAGCATAGCTCATAAAAATTATTTATGATGATCAAAAGAAAAATGAAAATAACACAAGAAAGAATGGCAACAACAAAATGGCCAGAACGAGGAACAGAAATAGAAAAAGAATGACCAAGAAGAGAGAAACGAAAAAGTATCACGAATATGGCGAGTAAGTAGAGAAAAATTAGGCAAAAAAATGAGACGGACAGCTGAAACCTGTAGTAATCAGAACATTTATGAACTACGTCAACTATTTAAAATCTAGCTGCATGCTCATGGAAATCCGTGCAGTTTGGCTCTATTCATTCAAAAGCAGCTAAAAAATATTCTATAATCAGCGGCGGAACAGAAAACTAGCAGTATGCTAGTAAACCCATAAGATCGAGTTTGCCCTGCTTCTCATATACTGACAATGAATGAAGACCAACTTCTGAAGGCACTTTTACCTACCTTTTAGGGTCGAACTTTTTCCGGCGTTCATTTGGCTCTGCAAAATCCAGTTTGACTTGGCGTTCAATTTTTAGCTGAGATTTCGTAAATTCTCGACTGTGGACCGAAGCCTGAAAAGAACCCAGGTGAATGTGAATGAGCAATGGACGTTAAAAATGGAAAACCTACGCGATGAGCCTTGAAGTCTATTTCTGTACCAAATGCTACACCAATCGGCTCAGACTTGCATTCTCCTTCTTCGCACAGAAAGTGCTGTTCTTTAAAATGAGCACGCAGAGAAACGTTGGTCCTAAAAATAGAGACGTAGCTTTGAAATTCAGCTGAATTCATCTGGAAACGGCTTGAAAAAGAGTACAACAACGTACGGCTAGAATATGACAATAACTACAACGGGAGCGTAATATGAATCCACCAGCTTGCTAATTAATTACGAAACAATAGTCTTATATCCTTGATGCTCAAAGCCCAAACTCCCGTCCGAGTCATTTGAAAAAGGTAATGTCCAAGGAGAGAGAATATTTGGCAGGGTTAAGTAGAATGGACAGCATTCTCCAAAACCGCTGCTGTTGCCGCGCGTGTCTGTCAAAACCCTGAAACCGATGGGTAACAAGGTTCTAGCGAAATTGTCTTGAGCCAACCATCCACTGAGCAAATTTATCTCCGATTACAGAAACAGTACAGAATTCATCATATGGACCACATTTTGCTCGTTACTGGAAGGGAAATTTCACTGACTATGAAAATAGATCTTAAAAAGCTTTTGAACGGCGGACAGAATTTACCACACAGAAAAACAGACCTAGGCAAATTACACTGAATGCTGAATCCTATGACAGTCGCACTGAATCGTCTGGAAATACAGGTAGCCACAGTATGAGATGCACTGTTATAGAAAAAACGATGTGAACACCGGAAATTATAGCTTATATTGCACATCAAGCACGACAGAAGAGCTGCTTACAGCTGCTATAGCACTGACGTCTGTGCAAATGAAACAGGAATCATATTTACTCCATCTTCACACGAAGCAGTAAGAGCAGTTACAAAAAATTAAGGATGGATTATCGCATCAAGTAACAAAGTCGAAGAAACAACTGAAATACTGCGTGACTCAGAATACATCTCTCACGTGAACAGGACTTCGACGTAACAATTCCCAATGGTAGTTGTAAAGACAAATTGTACGTACCCCTTATTTGACGAAAGCATTTTACATGATTAGAAGATTTAACCTTGCACTGACTTCACCGATTAGGAAACACACTTTAATACCCGAGGAAGCTAAGTTTCATTGGTTAGCTACTGTCAAAACATAAAGGACTGGTAGAAATTGTGCTAAGAAATCAAAGCAATAAACTGCCACCTAATCGCAGCATCTTCAAACGCCTTCAAGAACTTTGTTGGTATTCATACTTACGAAAAGAAACGGTTGTAACCATCCGCATCGCAAAAATGACACATGAAATGATTGATGCGTAAATGCCTAAATACATAGGAGAGACAATATGGGATAAAACCAGATATTTTTAACGGATGAATCAAACCTGAACAACTGGTCATCATCCATAAATCTTTCATCACAAAATTCGCAACGCGGATGGCCTTTGTGACTTGAATCATCCGGATCTCCGGCACGGCGATGTCTAGCCAGGTCTCGATATGTATAACACTTCCTTTCACGAGGAAACAGCTAAACGCAAAGTATAGTATAACAATCATAATAAAAGATCGATGTGGGCTCATGAAAGCAATTGTTTATATAAGTGGAGGTTAAAACCAAACAGAGAGGATCTTTATACTTTTTTATAAGCTGCCATATACGAATTACTTTTACGTTAATGCGGTAGAATATAAAGAGTAACAGGTTCTGAAAAATCGTTCTCGATTACCGGGAAACGGCTCTTGTGGACAAAATGACGCGAGACGCATCTGACACACAGGTGCTCAAAAAACATACAAACGCTACCTGAGCAAGGTGGTGCAATATGTCATGAAATTTAATTTTGGAGGAACTACACACCAGGAAAGTTATAATATATAGGAAGCTATACAAAACAACGCGTACAGGAGCATATACGTATAGTGGCAATCTTCCTTTGAAATTACTTATCGTGCACAGAGTAAATATTGTATATTAGCATTCAGTAATGGGTCTTTGTAACACAATAAACATAATATATAGCAATGCATATAAAACATGACTTTCACAATAATACAATGAATAATGGAGTAGTGGAACGCACCTTTAGATTCTTAACGCATATGTCGCAAAATGACAATTGATGTATTCGATGAAGATGCCTTTCGAGGTCCTTGAAATTTTTGAACTCCTTACTAAATAGGGTAGTGAAAATATACGCGACAAAATACACGACGGTAGTACCGATCTCCGCAGTATTCGCACATGTTTGCCAACAGCTCCGCAACGGCATGAATTTGAGCCTCGTTCTCGAAATGGAAACCGTATCTTGCGTAGAATGGGTCGGCGATGAAAGCTTTATCGACGAATCGACCGTCGCAGTTATCTGCGTCATTGATGAAATAAATCTATATAAAGCACAATCTGAGGGTCTTCAGGTATGTTTGTAGGAAAAAAAATTAGTTCATTTTAAAGTTTATGATACAACACAACTGGCTACCTATTTTGATATTTCTAAAATCTCTGAAAGTTCCATGGTTCTAGCCAAAGGAAGCCTCCCTCCAAACTTCGAGCCCAAATCCTTATACAAAAAAGTCATAAAGATTACGAATGAGGAATATGGCGAAGGAAAATGGGAGAGACTGTCAGTAACGGCTAAGATAGCTGCAAGGACTCGACATGAACCCGGAAACGGTTGTGAAGAAATGTTAGGAATAAAATGCTTTTTCCTAGTCAGCCCATACCTAGCTCACAAATACCTGTTGTAGCATTGGTAAAGTTGAATCGCTCAAAGACATGAGAATATATTGATTCAACAGCGCTGAAACAAAACACAACCACAGTGCGATAAAGGACACTGCACCATCATATTGGTGCATAATCGTGACGATTCTAACGGAAAATGGAAAGTGATAAAAATTATAAACTGCTTCAGATGGGGAAAGGCACGATAAAGAACTTTATTTTGCATCCGGCAATGTCCTCAAACGATGTCTTTCGTATTCTGAACACTGCATAAAGACAATGACATCAGACAACAATGACACCGTCCACTGTTCTAGTCAGTACTCTCAATCGAGTACCTTTGTGCCTGCAAGCACTGGATTAGAATATTATTTTTTGTCGTTGAAACTGAATCAGTATAAACTTCTGAAGGTGAAGAGTTTCACTCAAGCTGTGTAGACGGTATACAATCTTCACAAACATCGAGTATGACGAACGAAGTTACCCTATTGGACAGCCGTTTAAAATGGATGGCAACCCCAAGAAGAAGTATATCGCACCACTGATTTGATCAGTTCAAAGAGAATCCAGTTCACTTATTTCGTGCTACAATGAATAAGACATCAATTCAATCCAACCCATTATGTATTTCTCAGCTCTATAACTACAAAAGATGACATTAACCCCTAGAATTCTTGTCACTGATCCATCGCAAGCCCAAGAATGGTTAAATTTCACATCTTCGTGGACATAAGGCATGGTAGGAGTCAACAAAATACAATAACTCAGTATTTCTGATGGAAACAAGAGGGTTGAGACGATGAAACATTACAATACTGAAATATATTCTGAAAATCAATTAGTCTTACTTTTTCTAACACTCTCCTACAAATAGGACATTCGCTGTTTTCGCAAACAACGCGAATGCGAGTTCCGCATACGAAACAGATTGGGTGGTTGCATTCGCCGATGCAGAAGGTATTCGCGGCATGGCAGCAAATATCACAAACGCGGCGCTTGGCCTTTGAGGCATGATGGACTTCACCCATTCTGACAGGAAGCTGAAGACATTAGATTACAGTAGACTTACATTAGATCTAAATTAGATTTATCAGATTTTTGCTTACACAGTTTATAAATTTAAAACAAATTTACCACAGTAATTTCTGGTTTTAACCATCTGAAAAATAGTTCATGGTTATTTAACACAACGTCAAATAACCTGACTTCACATGTGAAAGTCTCAAAGCTAGCAATATCCGACTTTATCACTTGATACATTTTACCTTGAGATTTTCACACAGAGAGTCGTAGACGGCTATCCAACACAAATATGATTGAATGCATACCATACCACATCGAACTAGGTGGACATACTACTCGTCCAAAATACTCCGCATCAGTCCACGTATCAACACTACCAACTGAGATCCCTGATTTATGAAATAGCATTATATGGCTAATTACCATAAATTCAAGTGCAAATTATTCACTTCTGAAGAGGATAGCTTGCTTAAATAGAGCAACCGATTTTGCAAAAACTGAGTCCATCATCAGAGGTCGTAATTTTTTGGTGCAACATTCGTAACAATGCTTGATTGTTCAGTGTTACTTGTGATTCGGTTTTACACCCTTTTCTACTTACAGTTATTGTTATTGTTTGAGTGAATATATCAGGGACTTCACATTTCAATAACACTGTAGTTTATTTCCTGAAAGATTTCACTGAAATAGTCATTTTTACGGATTCTGCTGTATAACCATCACTGTGTGCCGAAGCCCTGCTGCTGTACGCAGTTCAACCGTAGTTCTTTTTCTTTCGTTAAAAGAACAGTCCCCATGACGTACAACATCACTGAGGAAAGGTGCAGAAAGTAAGAACAGTGTGGAAAAAAACAGCTCTATTTCAGCCCAAATATTGGACAGACTCCAAAAAGAATTCGAGTCTAGAGCGATCGTCGTATTTGACTCTGATTGGATGCTACCATCGGTGGAGATGATGGAGTCGAGATACTTTAATATGCGACCTCCTCAAGCACTTCACCCCCATCCTCTTCCACTTTTAGCTCAGCTATGTCTGATTGGTTACTCATAACTTTGGGCTTTAGGAAGTTAAGACAGAGGTCCGCTTTGGCAGCGGCTGTGCTTCATATGGAAGCCATAAGATGACAGAACCTGCTCCTACTGTTATTCACCAAGACGGTGTTGCATGCCCTCTCCAGGTCAGCAAGATAACTAGCCGGATATCCTGATCTATTTTATCTATAAAAATAGATCCTCATCTTTTGCCAAGGCCAGTAGTGTTTCAATGGGAAAAGATGAGAACAGTGATGAGTGGCAAATACGAAAGCACATCTCAAATCGAAAGCCATTAAAGTGGCAAGGGTGAACAGCAGCCAGAACCTCTTACCAGGGCAAGATAAAAAATGAGAGAGATTTCGGTAACAACTAACAGGAATCGATCAAGGAATATGTAACCAAGCAAGTAAAGCTGTTTTTTTCAAAACTGCCAAAATTATGATGCTACAAGCAACAAAAAGCATGACTTTTCAAGATCGCATGAGACCTTTAACCCTGAGTGTCATTATCCCAACTTGTCGCCATCTTTTCAGCACAGCCAGAAATGCCACAGCTTTGGACATACCCCTAAAAAAGAAGAAAATAACTATGACTACCTGCTACCGGAAACCTATAGTTCAGCACAGTCGTATCCAGCAAACTGACGGTGTTTCGAGAAACTGACTTTTCTAAATCGGTGCAAAACCAGGGAAAGCCGGTTCCTCAAACTATTTCTGATGTTTCTCGACAAACCTATATTATAAAATCCAACCAAAAAACTGAATACCGCAGTGGCAGCAGCAATTTAAAAAGAAACCTAATGAAAAAACACTGTTAAAAACATAAGCCAGCATATCTTTCATTTTGGTTTCACAAAAGTAAGAATTAAAGGCAATGAGATCACTTCATTTGTGTTCGAGAATTTCATAAAGCCGCTTTGCCTGGCTATACAGTATTTACAACATCAATGACTCTGCAGCTGACTGGCAATGATCAATCTTTCATATTCAATAAGTCATCAGGAAAATTAACTGGCTCACGCCATGTTAGTATATTCTTTCTTCATTGTTTATCATGTATAACACCTCTCCTAACTCTTATTACGTCTCAAGAAAGCTTGTAACAAGAGAAAATTGACTAAATTTATTAATAACTGCACATGGAAGTTGCTTGTTATATCTTTAGGTGCAAAAAACAGATGAAGCGGGCAGCAGTAAATAAATTCCGAGAAAAACCACGATGATTTTTAAAAAGCCTTTTGACCACAGAACACAAAGAGAACAATTTAATCTTACACTCTAAAGTTTGCTTTTCGAAGACATGCGTTGATGATGCCTAATGTGACCAGAATAATATTTTTACGGATTTTTGGCTTGATTTGAAGACAGAGAGAACAAAATATGTTGCTGGCAAATTATTCAAATTATGCTCACAGAAAATAAAATTGAAGGAACGAAATGTATTATGCATATCATATTGCAGAACCATTAGATTTCTAACAATGCCGTAACGTAGAATATAAGATTTCTGAAAATCAAAGATAAAAAACCAATCATTTTGACACTTTAAAACGACTCTTCAATTTAGCTACGTCAGACTAGATTAAACAAGACATATCACATAAAACTCATAAAAACATAAACCACAATTAATGATAAACATACTAGGAAATGAAATAAATTTAGTGGGGTCGTATAACCAGACGCTATAGTGAAATTGTGCCACAAGAACGAATCGAGCTGAACACTGTACTCTCATAACAGATTGAAGCTTAAGCTACACTAGATTGTTCTATAAACTGAGAAAAAACACCTAATTTTGGTTACGATGCCCGAAGAATCTTACGGACATATGTGGCAAAATTTCAAAATTAATTATATGTATGACTTGCCAAGATCAACAAAAGGCAACCGTAAAAGATTAAAGTATTATCAACCCTGTTAAATTCAGCAAGCGCTTCATCGCAGTTTGGATATATAGTGTGAGCTGTGTTAATTGCGAAGATAAGTATTTGAACGATCCATGGTTCAGGGCACAAAACACGGCAGATTGCGAAACAATTTATTTCCGACGTATTTTGCTACGTAGACCGTACCAGAAAGAGGAATTGCAGCGTAGATGATATAGTGACAATCTTTGATGAATGGCTCCAGTTTCAAATCAGAGAACGATACCTATCATCAGGCGCATGGCGTTCCGATGGGCTCCCCGGCAAGTGTTATTTGAGCTGATCTTTATATGGATCACCAAAAGGTGAAAGCACTTAAACAATATCCGCCAGAATCCCGACCACTGTTCTATGACCGATTGGGTAGCAACATTTTTCTATTATTCCAACGAAATGAGAATGAGCTTGAAATTTTGGAATGTGCCGTGAATTACATGAATGGACAGGACGAAAATGATCGAATGCACTTTGCTACTGAAGTGCAAGTTAACCTTTCTCAATCCTTTTTGAATGTGCCGGTGAAGAGGACTCCAATGCTCGAATTTCAGGTCCATGTATATCGGAAAACAAAGTGCTTTAATCGGTACCAACACTACGGGTCACGCGTCCCTCGTGTATTACCTTTGAATGCTGTGAAGAACATGCGTTTACGAGCCCAAGAGACCTGCAATAACATCAAAGCCCAAATGCTGTGAAGAACAAGCGTTTACGAGCCCAAGAGACTTGCAATAAAACCAAAGTCCAAACTGCAGAAATCCAACATCTTCATCAGAGTTCCCAAAGCATTGCTACCGAAGGAAGAACGTTGAGGAAGCACTTTGACATCGTGGTTCAAATATATAGATGGCCAGTTAGTGTGGACCAATGTTAATGTTACCCTTCATACTCAGGTGTCTCAAAGTATTAAGAGGTACCTCAACCACATGGAGTTTTGAGTCTATTACTAAAACTAGCAAAATATTGTGTGACATCATATTTAAAAGATATTTGCCCGTTAATAACACTGAAGAAATGTCAAATGTTGTAAACAAAGGTCAACGCAGAGACTGCGGCAAGGTGCACATTAGAAAGAACAAAGCAAAATTGAACGTCGCGATAAATGAGCAGCATTCTGTGGTCCACCATCTACTGGTTGACAGTTCTCGTGTTTCCCAACATGCGACTACTGAACGGCACTGGTACAATCACACTAATGTGTCTGTCATAGACAACGACCAATGGAAATCAGGAATACTGACAAGCGAGTACTAACATACACTGGCATTGAAAAACCGAATGTGCAACCTATATGTATATATATATATATATATATATATAAGTTTTTCATTTGCAACATTGATGAGATCGCTTAATGAGAAATTTTCCCTGGTTCGTTGGTGAACACTGGCAGTTCAGTTAAAAAACATTTGGTTAGAATTGGCAGTTCGCTTGTTGGAAACCGGCCTGCAGTCACACATTAATACCTTGACAGTTTTGATTCTGCTACGGTCTACATGGTGAAACGCGTCGGCAATCAGCTGTTTTGAAATTTGCAGCTTTAGGGCCCTGAGC